TTAACTAACCTCTTCTGCATCAGGATCTCCTGGAAAACATGACCTCTATGATGCTGGTGGGTATATCATTTCACCCCTAAGTGTAGGAGTCCTACAAACCTGTTGAGAAGAATTTGCCAGCTTGTCTCTGTTTCTGGGGCTAAATAAGTTATCTGCATCGTTTTATGTAGCACTGTTAAATATTGGACAGTTTAACAGCCACATTTGAATTATGACACAGTAACATAGGAGAAAGACACACAAACTGTAGTTTTGAGTCTTTTTCTAACGATTATGTCTTTGTGTCACTCAGTAGCTGTTTTCCTTTGGTGTCTTTTTTCCAGCTGCTCTGTGCATCTTCCTGTTTCTTTGTGTTGTTGGTTGTACCAAGTCACTTGGTATATATTTTCATGTTTTTTGTGAACGTTTCAGATTTGTTTCTAGCCTTGTTTAAAGCCTTTCTTGCAGCAATTTAGCATCTCTGCGGTCACTTTGGGATGCAAATCTTTGGAGCTTTGTTTCTTTTGTCATTTTGTTTTGTCTTTTGCATCTCTTTATGGTTATTTGTCTTCTCTAAGGTAGCCCTGTCTCTCTCTCAGACACAAATTTGTGTCTCTTTTGTAGTGAAATTCTGTTTTTGTGTATAGAGCCTTCTTTTTGCAATTGTTCTCTTGTGTCTTTGTGGTCAGTTGGTTACTTTTGTGTTGTCTTTGGATGTGTAGTGTTTGTGCTGTGTTTTGGGATTTCTTTAGAGTAATCCTAAATCTCTTTTTGAGTTGTCCTTGGACTATTTGTAGTAGGTTTTAGTAAAGAATATTTGCTTAAACACAAAGTCTATGACCTATTGGTCCCATCAGTAATCCTGTCATGGTACCAGCTGTAGAAGGAGCCAGGAAAGTAATTCCAGAACAGTGACTATAAGAAATAGAGGACCTTACTGGGAATTTCAAACTGTTGGTCTGGTGCACATAAAATGTGTAGTGCTGTACAAAACATGGTTTGTTATTGCATGTATGAAAAATCTCAATGTGAGACGGTCAATTTTCCAAACAGAACAATCTCCCATACGTGTGATTTAATTTGGAGCAGCAGATGTTCATGTTGTTCTGGTCCATAGCAGGAAACACAGATACTCTGGATCCCACAGCTCCCCTCAGGTAGCTGCAGTGATTCCCCTCCTCATTGTTGTTTTTTTTCCTGTGGCAGAGCATCCAGAGAAGCTGGAGGAGTGCTTTCCATCAGACCAGTCCCCGCTGTCCTCTGGAGTGGACTCTGGACAGCAGTCTCCTGTCTCACCAGAGAACAGGAAGGGTCACAGAGGAATTAGGAAACTCTGGGGGAAGTATGTTTTAAGGATATACAGAGCACACACTTAACAGCACGTTTGGTGTCCTAAACGTTTTATATTTATACTCATGTTCTCACTTCTGTCTGCAAGGATCCGTCGCAGTCAGTCGGGTAGTCCTGTCCAAGTTCATGACCCAGAGCTAGGAGACTTCAAGAGGGGAGGATTCAGAGCTACAGCTGGACCTCGATTGGCCCGTTCAGGGAAAACACGGTATATTAATTAATAAAATATCTATATTAATAAAGTGAATAGGAGTGATTAGGTGCACAGTTCACTTTTTGGTGTTTTGTTCCTACGCAGAGATCTGAAGACGCCGTTTTCTAAGTGGAACACAGAGCAGGTGTGTGACTGGATTGAAGACATTGGACTAGGTCAGTACAGCATCCTCGCTCGCCAGTGGGTCACCAGCGGTCAGACTCTGCTATCAGCCACGCCACAAGACCTAGAGAAGGTATACACACTCAAACGCATCACTGCTTTATAGAGTATGGTTGCTAAAGTGATGCTTCTAAGACAACCGGCACACACAACCACACTGTGTTGGTTTTCCATACAGAGTGTCACATATTTTCCATTTCTACCTGTCTGATCATTGTTGCCGTCTGTCTGTTTGTTTGGTCTTTAGTAACGCCTGCCTCTGCCTTTCAACCAGCTCTTTAGTTTCGCCTTCAACACTGTCACATCACACACCTCATCTCCACCTCCAACCTTTCTCTGCGTCTCATCGAGATCATTTTGATCAGTTCTGTTTCTTTCTTCGGGTTAATCTATATTGATACTGTGATCCATGGAAACTGTCAAACCTTGGATCGCCGTATCAGAAAGCTGGAGTTTCTGATTTTCTTTTTAAATACCTCACCTTATATATCCTTCTGCTAGGAGTACACAACTGTTTGTTTATGTACTGTGTTTAACATGGTTTTTGACCATTTTTCTTTAAGTTGTTCTTCATTAAATTCTTCATCTTTTTAATAGAAAATCGGTCTTTGAATATACTTTTCAGGTTTGTCCTTTATGGTATGCAGCTTGCAGTATTTCTTTAAATTTAGGTGCAACCAGAACTTGAATGGCTTTTATTACTAAAAGGTTAGTTTAATCATTTAAATTCAATGAAATTACCATCAGATAGTCAGATTGAAAGATAGGGTGAGAAGTTCAGCCATCCGAGAGGGGCTCAGAGTAGAGCTGCTGCTCCTCCACATCCAAAGGAGCCAGTTGAGGTGGTTCGAGCATCTGACAAGTATGCCTCCTGGGTGTACTGGGGATGCCTTGATGTTCCCCCGGACAAGCTAGAGGAGATGGCTGGGGAGAGGAAGGTCTGGGCTTCTCTGCTTAGGCTCCTGCCCCTGCGATCCGGCCACAGATAAGCGGAAGGAGATGGATGGATGGATGGTCAGATTGTCAGTCATTTTATCAATGATTGAATTAATATTTTGCAGGTTTACTAATTTATGGGTGCTCCACATTATCTGCCAATTTAACCACTTTTGCAGTAGAAGAAGCTACTTCAAGCTGTTGCTTTATTCGCAAAGGGTTGCTGCAGCACGGGCAGCACGGTGGCACGTCATTGGCACTGTTGCCTCACAGCAAGAAGGTCCTGAGTTCAATTCCACCATCTTTCTGTGTGGAGTTTGCATGTTCTCCCCGTGCACGGTTTCCACCCACAGTCCAAAATGCAGGAGTAAATGTGAGTGCAAATGGTGTCCCTGTGTGCTAGCCCTGAGACAGACCAGGGTTTATCTCGCCCTATGACAGCTGGGATAGGCTCCAACACCCCCCGCCACCCTGAAAAGGATGAGCAAATGGATGGTTGCTGCTGTTGCAGCAGCTCTGCAAGTTATATTTGGCAGATTTTTTTTTGTTGGATGCTTTTCTTTATTTCAAAGGTCTTTTTATTAGACAAAGGTTCCAATACAATGTATACAATAACACAAAATGCTTCAGAATATTCCAAAATTTAAATCTTGTTCCCACCCTAACCCTTAAAACAACAAATAATTGGACTACTCAGTAACAGGAGTTGTGGGCCTTTCAAAGAAGTCCAGAAAGGGGGACCACAGTTTATAAAATTTATTTTTAGACCCACGAACTGGTTATCTAATTTTTTCTAAATCCATACAAGACATTATATCTTTTAGCCATTGTGTGTGTGTGGGGGGAGAAGAGGTTGGATGCTTTTCTGACGCAAACCTAAAGGGATTTGTGTCTCCTCCCATGATCTGACCAGGGATTTTTCACTTGTTCAATGAATGGATACTAAAATATTTTTAAACAATAATTTCACAGATAGGAGACTTTGGAGAATTTGGAAAACTCTTTCATGTTTTGCCTGTGATTGGAGTTATTTCAGCATCATTCCACATTCAACTATCAGGGTCGATTAAAAAAAAAAAAAGGTCCGCCGTTCATTACAGCACTTCACTATGCAGACGATGCACTGATGCTACAGTGATGCTACAACCTTTGCTGATCGTACACGCTAAAAATGGATGTCATTAGACTTTACGAAGAGATAGTAGAGGTTCTGTTGTTTAGACCTTCTCCCCACTCTTAATGGCATGGGAGTTGTAGCATTTTGACCTACTACTTGGCGACTACTGCAATAGTTGAGTGTAAGCAAGTCTTTGATTTCACATCTGCAGCTGCTCCAGAACATCGCTGCCTAGCCACATAAAACCATGAAGGACCTTTACGACAGGACCCTTGCTGTTGCTTTTAAACTGTGGTTTACCTGTTCACATCAGAACCTAATCAACACTGGAAATGTTTTAAAATCCATTCAAAACACTGGCTTTTAAACTAAGCCTCAACATTTGCTTTTATTTATTTGCAAGATTTTATTAATTTTGATATTCTAAAGAGTTCTTTTTTGGTAGTACAGCACTTTGACCAATGTTGCTTTTAAATCTGGTTGACTTGACTAAACTGTAACAGGAGGAAAAAGCCAATCGTTTCTCTTTGTCCACAGGAGATGGCCATGAAGAATCCACTCCACAGGAAGAAGCTTCAGTTGTCCATCAAAGCGATCAGCAGCAAACAGCCTGAAAAATCTGCAGAGCTCGATTACCTCTGGGTTACCCGTATGTAAAGGATTCATACGCACAGACACACATATGGGAAAATCTCAGAGAAAACAGTTATGTTCTTTGTTCCAGGTTGGCTTGATGATATTGGCCTTCCTCAGTACAAAGACCAATTTAATGAAGGAAGAGTGGATGGGCAGATGCTGCAGTATCTCACTGTGGTGAGTTTGTAACTAATCAATTCACTTGAAGTTAAATCAGCGTTACCATATGGGGGGAATTAGCTTTCAGTTGCCCAAAAATAAAAGGGATGTATGACATGTTTCCCTTCTTGTATCTGTCTCTGCTCTCCATGTTAGAACGACTTATTATTCCTTAAAGTGACCAGCCAGCTGCACCACCTCAGCATCAAGTGTGCCATTCATGTTCTCCATGTCAACAAATTCAATCCCAACTGCCTCAAACGCAGGCCCGGCAATGAGGTATCGTTAACTCGTTTATACGGCAAAGTACAAAGATGGCAAAAGAGCCATTAGTGAGTGAACTCTTAAATTAAAAGTTCAAATCAGATCCGCTGTCTTCTTCTTTGTAAGTTCTTTTTGTACATTGTGTTTGTACCTCACGCATTTTTCATAAAGACTCCATCCATGAAAGTCAAAAACTTGATCAACCGTTTAAGGTCATCGCTTGTGGAAGTTCTTGTTCTGACTACCTGTATGTGTGGCGTCACGTCAGAGTTAGCCAAGTTCATAGATTCCTGCTCACAGATGCACATGTTGGTGGTCAGAATGGGACATCCACTTTTGCCACATTTGCACATGCAGACTGACAGTTTATATAATTATGTTGGTTTGTATTTTTTTAATTAGTTCGTGCAAACAAAATTTGCCAGAAAACATCACTTTGTAAGGCTGAGAAACTGTTAAAAAGTCAAACTAGAACAAAAAATACATTCATCTGTGTTACAGAGCCAGTTCACTCCCAGTGAGGTTGTCCAGTGGTCTAACCACCGAGTCATGGAGTGGTTGAGATCTGTGGACCTTGCAGAGTATGCCCCAAACCTGAGGGGCAGCGGCGTGCATGGAGGGCTGATAGTGAGTACATAAAAGCAGCCGGCATCTGGAGCAAAATGGAAAAGAAGAATTTAAAAAAGCATCTGACATCATTTCTCCTCAAATAGATGCTGGAGCCTCGGTTTAACTCCGATAGCCTGGCCATGCTGCTCAACATCCCTCCTCAGAAAACTCTGCTGAGGCGCCACTTAACCACCAACTTCAACAACCTAGTAGGAGCACAGGCTCAGCAGGAGAAGAGGGAGTACACTGAGGCGACAGGATACTCCCCACTCAGCATCACCGCTAAAGTCAAGGTAAAAAAATATAAGAAAAGACTCAATTATAAAGCTGAGAGTAGCACAGGCAGTAGGTAAAATAAGGCATCGTAAGAGACCAGTTAACACCTTCCCTCTTCCTGCAAGTGTGAGAAAAGCGCCTTAATCCACGGTGAGACCTCAGCGTGTCAGCTCGGATTAATCTCCGAGCTCTTCCAAAAGTTTAAGCCAGTGGGAACTGCTCTGCTGCTCCTCACATCTTTAAGACTCAGCCATCAGCCACTTCAGCTCAAAGCGCCTCTTGAAGAAAATAATTAAGTAATAACAGAAGAATAATTCATCATAAGAGAATTCGCGCTTGCATTTGATCCACTTATGATCTTGGACACTTAGATCTTAAATTTCTTAAGCTACATCTAATGCAGGAAATATTTATGTGGTTGTTTTTGTGGATGTTTTTGTGGAGGTATATAATACTGTGGATGGGGAAAAAATCCCAAAACAAAATTGTTATTGTTAAATTAGATTTTCGCCTCAAGATGAGCCAGCTATGAAGTAAAATCCAGCAGTGCTTTGTGACGATATCACAGATGTTAGAGGACACATTTGATGAATGTTGTGTGCCGCTGCCCGGTGTCCCTCATTCACATCTACTAAACACAAAAAAGAGCAGATATTAGGAAAATCCATACAGATGTGATTACAGGAAATGGAACAAAACAAGACGGCTTCCTCCCACCGTCCAAAGACATGCAGCTTGTGGGGATAGGTTAATTGGATAATCCAAATTGTCACTAGGTGTGAATGTGCGAATGAAAGTGAGCGCGAATCGTTGTCTGTCTCTGTGTGTTGGCCCTGCGACAGACTGGCGACATGTCCAGGGTGTACCCCGTCTCTCGCCCTATGACAGCTGGGATAGGCTCCAGCGCCCCCCGCGACCCTGAAAAGGATAAGCGGAAGCGAATGGATGGATGGAACAAAACTGAGCACAGCATTGTTTTGATCTCAGTGTCAGCCTGCATTTCAGAAATAGTGTTTTAGCTGCAAGCTCCTTTGCAGCCCACTGCAATGCCAGCTTCCCTTTCATGCTGCTCTGGTCTTTTCACCTGGCAGTAATACCAGTGCAGTGTATCAGTTGAATTACAAGTATTCAAGATATTCAGTGCATCTCAAGTTTCCAAGGTGTGATCAAAAGAACCAGGGAACCAAAAAAACCCATTACCTGATTTAAATCTGATCAAGGAAGCTCTCAGAGTTGTTTGTCCTTGCTGTAGTTTTTGTGCATAGGACTTTGTAGTGTTGGTGTTAAGATCTCCAGTTTGCATCTGAATAACTTGTAACAATAACATTTAATCTACAACATCTAATGAATCTCCTTTTAGCTCTGTTTTGGTCTCCATATATTCCTCAACAGGCGGCTGCATCTTCCATAAAGTTCAGCTGCTAGTCACAACATCTGTTTGTGGTTTGATGCTTGTAGTTTTATCAAAGATTTTTTTAAATAGTTGCCTGCAGCTGTTAATGATGGCAAATCAGTAAAGAAAATCACATCAGTGAGTTGGGTAATCATTCTTATTGACATTGTTGATGTAGGAGTAGTGATTGGCACGCTTTAAACGTATTGCTTCTTGTTGTAGAGCCTATCATTAGTCACATTGTTCTAACATTAAAAGTCTCCTCAGCAGTCGCTGTTGCTTTGTCGAAGCGTGACAGTATGACGATGCTTTTGTTCCTGTTTCACTGCAGCCGAAGAAGTTGGGCTTCTCTAACTTGACTCACCTCAGGAGGAGACGGCCGGATGAATCTACAGACTACGTCTGCCCCATCGAGTCCTCCTCGCCTCAGTCGGGACAGTCTGCAGTGAACGGGGTGCAGATGCGGCCCTACACTGGCTTCAGAGGCCTGAGCCCCATCCTAGACCGAGAGCCCGACCGCTCCAGGGACCAGGTGGGGCTAGAAGATAGCAGAGCCGACCCATCTCCATGGCAACAACTGTAACACCAACAACACGGATGACTGTTGTCATCCTGTCTATTAGCCACTCAGCTATCTCTGCTACTACTCTGCTTCCTTTGCTTGCAGCCCATAATACCTCAGTCCATCCCCTGATGTGCTTCTTTAAGCCCCGCCCATCAGCCCGACCCTGTGCCTTACATTTAGAGATTGTTTCTCAGTCAGCTGCTTGTCACGCTGCAGGGAGTCCTGAGACGAGCACAATTCAAGTATTTTGATTTCAGCTCCGGTCAGATGCCTAACTAACCCAACCTCAGCCTCAAACCTGTGCCACGACTCTAACTCATCACGAGAGAACGCAGCCTCTCTCTGGATTCCTGTGACATCACTTCCTGTAATCCATACAGCATATACAGACATGTCTTCTTGTACAGTATTAAGCCAACATGTGTGCGCCACCAGTAGATTATTTTTTATGTGTGACCTTTGATTTTTCTAACCAGCTTGAATGCAGTTCTGTTACATGGTCGAGATGAACTTGTGCAATATTTACATAAAAATAATGGAGGGATTTTATTTATATCACTGCAGAGAAAATCATAAAATAGCATGTTTTGTTTGAAACTTGAGGTGGTGATTTTTGTACCGTCATTTTTCATATTTGACTGTAATAGTATTTTTATAGCAAAGAAAGGAAGCTAACGTGTGGTTTATCAAATCATTTAATAAACAAAATCCGACATGAGCAAAAGTTTATTCATTTTTTTCTGATGATCAGAGTAGAAGCAGATGTGTAAAATGTTCAATGTCCTTTATTTATTTAGTTTTTAGTTGTGCATCATTATAGGGGCCTGTACTGGACATTTTCAGTGTTTCCCACAGAGGTAGATTGCACGTGCAAAAGGAGGAACATCCATGCTGTCTTAAATTATAAGACCCATAAATTGTTGCCATTAAAGACTCAAAATTCACCGCGTGTAGTGACTCCAGCTCTTGTTCTGCTCTGTAACATCATCAGTTCACAAAGTGATATTTGGCATTTCTGGCTTGCTGCATATAACCACAGTAAGTTCAGGTTAGTAACCAGAACCAGCAGTTTTCCAGTGAAGAACAGGGATTACCTTTACCGGCAGTCCGAGGTGGTAGAGTTGGAATCTGTTCACCGCGGGAACAAGAGACTGACTGGAGAATAGCTCAGTGACATCAAGACAGCAACAACAGTGACCCGGCCACCCTGCCAATGTCAAAGCATTCTGCTTGTTAATATGGTTGAACTCACAAACTTGTGGAAAACATTGAATTCCTCAGGAAGCATATTCTGTATTTCTGTAAGATAACGTAACAGACTATGCTGCTGGGCGGAGCCACGAGCAGCAGCATGCCTTAACCTACATCAAGCACTAACCTGCTTCCATCATCATCATCATCATCTCCATTCTCACCATCACAGTGGCTGTCATTGCTGTTTATGACGCCACGTTTCCCCCCTTCGGCTGAGCGGTTTGAGCCAAGATGGCTGATGATCATCACCATGATTACCCTGTTAAAGGTGACATGGGAAGTGCATGTTTGACTATGACTCAGCTGCAGGTACAATCCTCATTATCAGTGATCTGTTGCACATTTTCATATCTTTCTACTGTAATTTTAAAAGGTTTAAGAAACGTATTGTTTTGCTGATGGTAAGCCTGTAACTGTGAGTTGTAATGA